GCGCATTTACTGCGGGCATGTTCAGACAACTCGTCCAACAAGCGTCTTCCTCCATTGCTAAGTGGCCGAGGGAGAGCCTGTCTAAGTCCCTGTTCGACGTCTTTTTTTACCTTTTCTTTCATTATTGGTCAACTTTTCACCTACAACTTCATTATCGGTGGCTTTTGCCCGCGAATACGTTCCTGGATTGTTGCTTTAAAGCGAGAGATTGCGATAGGATTCTGTTGTGCTCATAGTGGAAGTGAAGATGCTGAATAATGCCCTAGTAGCGAAAAAAGCAAAGAAATCCGTCAAAAACGCGCAAAATGGGACCACTTCCTCTGCCCGTTGACCTCCGATAATGGACGAGTTGGCAACCAACTAAGAGGTCGTCGGCACTCGTTAAACCATAGCTGCCATCATACCACCAGAGATCATACCTTGATTGATATAGCATTCCATGAGAAAAAAATTGGATACGCGCTCGAAGTGGCATACCTTATCAAAATGATAATCGAACAGCGATCTGCTGAGGGGCGGAGCACAGGCGGAGGCGGAGCTCAGAAAGGATTGGCAGCCCCAGGGCGCTGCAACGAGCGCACCTTTAGTCACAAAAAGGCCACATCTCGATTCCTTTGGGCTCTAGCTACTGCTTGAAGTGCTGCTCGTTCTTCCATGCCTGACTGCAACAGAATCGGATCTAAATCTATCGCTTTAAACTAATCATTTACTTGGCGGATTTTTTCCAGGACTTTTGCACATGAAGATCATCACTCAGTTTTGTCCATCCCTATCTGTACTCTGTTCAAGATTTTGAAAAAAAATTAGCATTCTCACCGGAACTGAAAGGAGATTTGCAGTGGAAAAGATAATATCCACAATTGCAGCTAGTACAAAGAAGTATTTATAAGAATTAATTCGTTTAAGGGGGCAGCAGAAATAAACGATAAGAAGCCCAATGTTGTCTAAAAGGGAAAGCACCGAAATAAAATATATTATAGGAGGCAGAGCATCGTCTGTAGACATTTGGTACAGACAGCCAATGGAAGCACCGACTAGGATTTATGACCTGAAATAAAATTATGATTTTTCTGTGAAGGATCCCTTCAAGAGTCAATGGAATGAAAGCATCTTTTGGTCCGCCCCATGTATATTCTCTTGTTATTTACGTGAATGATATTTGAGAATTTGCGTGCTTGTCAGTCTGTCAGGTAATCTATATATTTGTTTGCTTAAATGCCACTCCTTTAATCCTAGGCCTGTGAGAGTAAGTGGCCGCATCTAGCGTGAAATGGGGACTTGACTCAAAGCTGGGGGTTTGTCTCGTAGTACAATGTGTTGGCGGCGAGATTTCATCGGAAATTATGGCAAGAAACGAATTTCAATTGAAACACAATGAGTGGTTCTTGATTTGTTTTTTAATCATATCCTATCTCTGACGTTACCCCTCTGAAGGGGAGCGATATAAATGTAGGTATGAGATTTTTGCAGAGATTTTTACGCTATTTTGTTGAGTTGAAATTGTTATTGTATCGGCTAATTGCTATGGAAGAATACAGTGAAGATGTGATTACTGTGGGCGCCACTTATGGTGCTTCCATTGGCTCTCTGTACCAAATGTCTACAGACGATGCTCTGCCTCCTATAATATATTTTATTTCGGTGCTTTCCCTTTTAGACAACATTGGGCTTCTTATCGTTTATTTCTGCTGCCCCCTTAAACGAATTAATTCTTATAAATACTTCTTTGTACTAGCTGCAATTGTGGATATTATCTTTTCCACTGCAAATCTCCTTTCAGTTCCGGTGAGAATGCTAATTTTTTTTTCAAAATCTTGAACAGAGTACAGATAGGGATGGACAAAACTGAGTGATGATCTTCATGTGCAAAAGTCCGGAAAGTCGTCACTTTCCGGGACTTTTGCACATGAAGATCAATCGGGCAGAAAGTGGTCCCATTTTGCGCGTTTTTGACGGATTTCTTTGCTTTTTTCGCTACTAGGGCATTATTCAGCATCTTCACTTCCACTATGAGCACAACAGAATCCTTATCGTAATCTCTCGCTTTAAAGCAACAATCCAGGAACGAATTCGCGGGCAAAACCACCGATAATGAAGTTGTAGGTGAAAAGTTGACCAATAATGAAAGAAAAAGTAAAAAAAAACGTCGAACAGGGACTTAGACAGGGACTCCCCTCTGCCACTTAGCAATGGAGGAAGACGCTTGTTGGACGAGTTGTCTGAACATGCCCGCAGTAAATGCGCCCCAATTGCAATTGCTGGCAATAGCCAGCAATAGCTGGCTACTTGCCAGCAATTGCAATTGGGGCGCAATAATGAAATCGTTTTATGTTTTGAAGGTAGAAGGAAAAACGTAGAAATCCAGCGTAGTCGGCATCACCACATCGATTGCTTCAAAGGATCGACCTCAAATAGTCCCGGTGGTCCCGAAACGACCGCAAATGTCTGCGCAGCCAATCACGCACTCTTCACGACAGAAGTGGGCGGCCGTACCGAGGCTCGGTGGATCCGCCCACTTCGACGGCGTTAGACCCCCTTCCAACGCCTTTCAAAGGTAAGTTTTCAATCAGTGACATTTCCTATGTACTTACTAGGGCTGTGCAGTCCAACCTCGTATAGCATATGTGAAAACCGTTGACTGTTGCTTCAGGCTAAGTAGCACTGGTACACTTGACGGCCCGTCTTGACGCGCAATGGGATATTGTGACGGTTCAGCATACGCTTCCACATGCAACTCACTTTGTAGGTTGCGCCTCTTCTTTTGAGTAAAATGTATTTAATTCTAATAGATAATACACAACATAACTGTAAACATACAGCCTAATGGTCGGAATATGCGCTGAGTTAAGCACAATTTCCCTGAACTCACCACATTTTAGTGGCAACTCTTCCAATTTTCCCACCGCTTGTCTAACATTCATAGAAAATGTAGAAAATTAGATCAAACTCTTGAGTTCAAAAAAGTATTTTCAATGGAGAAACTAAAATGAAATTCATTTACTTCACCATCGAAAGTAATTTTTTTGGCTTTTTCCGTGACAATCTGTTTTACAACTACTACTTTTCATCCTTGCCTAAACAACTGTGGACATTCAATTTTACATTCAATCAGAAAAATAAGCGTAAAGGGGGGAAAGATAAAAAATGTAAAAAAAATGAGGACGGTGGCTCGCAAAAAATCGCGCTGTCGCCACGCGGAAAAAAGCAAAACGTCAACTTTAATGAGTAGGGGGCTAACCCTTGAAAAATAGCTTTTATCATACTACTTCCGAAACAGATTTTTTGAACGGGATACACTCTCTAACTTCAAAATCAGCATCAGAAACATAACTGACAGGAGATATAGAAATCTGTGTTTTGCTCGATAAATGATCAATAGGGATTTGAACTGAATACAAAAAATGTCATTACAGACGACAACGCGTAAGCAGTTCCATTCTATCATTCCAACAAAAAGGAAGCTTAAAGCATTGCCGATATCACCAAGCGCTTTCAAATCCGCAAACTACTGGCACAGTGTCGGTCCATCAGAGTTGTTTAGAAAATCATAATAGTTTTGCATGTTACAGAAAAACTACGCAGATATCTTTCATTTCCACGATTTGTTTCACGAGATCACCTCTTCACGTTTATCGCGAACTGGATGCTGAGTCGTCAGCCATTTGGATTCCTGCTGCTCATGGTTTTCTGTGGAATTTTCTTCACACAAGCTCTTCTTCGTAACTAATAGCTTCCTATACCGATATATGCACCTGTGCCGGTAAGTAAAACGTCTAAATTTTGGTCTGGTAACTAGACTGACTAGACTGTATCGCTTTTGTCTATTACCTGCTAGTCGTAAAAGCCTCAAATGACTCTTCTGTCTTTGAAAACAAATATATAATTTCTGGATTGAATAAACTTGCCGCACGAAAAATAAGGAGGTGCCCAAGCGCAGCAGCATTGACGCAGGTCCGATAACGTGAAAGATGTAGCATGTCTCAATCGCGTAATCCATCCGCCCCACATATAAAAGCTACTTCGTTCCGCTGGCTATGTGAGATAGAATTAATATGTTTCTGTACTGAAGAAGGGTTTACTTCGAATCATTTGGTGCCGGTTCAGACTTTGCGCAATCCAGCAATCGCTACGCATGCATATCCTAGCGTTCGTGCGCTGCTCCCTGGGAATTTATGCAACAAAAGATCACGGTGACGAAAACCCTCATGAACACCCGTCTCTCGCCTCGCCAGACATAAGAACGCGGAGAATGAAGCATGGAATGTCGAGGGGCCAACGCATAAGTAACCTGGCACAGCGTCCCACCGTCACATCAAGTCGAGTCATATCGCTGCTAGTAGTCACTAGGCGATGCTACCGTATTCGCATCTAATACAGTTTTTCCTACGCGCATACGCTAAAACTTTTCTATTGTGTTGCTCTAATAGATCATACCACATCGCGACTATAAAGGGCGGATTGCACTAAATGACTGCATTTTTGGATTGGTCGGATCTATATAAAAGTGGGTAATGAAGGAAATAGAAATGTGTAGTGTGGCAATAAATGTTTTACGGAGACATCTGATACTTTTGCGGTCTAATGCAACAAACGCAAACAGAATTTCGCCTTCTCTCTGGACTGAATCGTCATTTTGATCGAATTTCTACTGTTGCAATTATCGACAACTTGGGCACATTGAAGGATTGATCTCAACATTTCGCTGCATCCGTTTTGCGTATTTGCAGCTAAAAATCCATAGATGCGAGGTGAAACGGTCGCGCATTGAAAATCGCTCTAGTTTTTGTCCATGAGAAACTTAATGAGAGAATTTTGCAATATTTTTCTAAGTCTTCGAGCCTTCAAAGCGAGTTCAACACCATACAGCCAATTGTTCACTTTTTTGGATATATTATACATATAGTACGACTACTAAGACGAACTGCATACCTAAATTCAGACAGCAACTTTTTCAAAAGTTTTCTACACGGAAAACTATATTGGTTGGGTTTGCTGCTAATATGCTAGTGCTGGCAGTTCTTTGCGCTTCTGTCTACATTGTGGCATATCCTAATGACGACTTTGTGTACTTTGTGAGAAGTACATTCGTAATATCAGGAGTGAACATAAACGACTCGTCGTTCATTGGCTTGTCTCTCAAGGTGAGTCTTCCTCTAGAATGAGCCTCTTCTTTTTCTTCAAACCTGCTGCATGCTTCGACGAGAAATTGTGATCCAAACTAAATTTTTTGGAATGCTTACTTTTTCAAATTGATTCAAGCAAGGACTGAGTTAATTTTCTCAATCGATTCTCTACGTATTACAATGTAGAAGTGCAAAACACAGTGAGGTTTTTTGTAGCTTTTGTTTTAAAAATTGTGATAGGTTTTTGATGACATATGTGCCTTCCTTTACTCTTAAAGAGCTCTGCAATGTACCACCATTTTGAATCCGCCCGGGTCAGCCACCTGTCTCAGTGGAATCCATTTTGGCAGTGACCATTCCTATCTTCTACAATATCGAAGAGCGCACAGGCCACATAAGGATTCAATTGTTTTTTGTGATTTAGTTTGCTGTATACCATTGGCCAGCCTGAAGCCCGCGGTATTGTGCACGAAATCACGATTGTGAGTGGTGATTGTGGTGTAGCTAATTGGTTGGCTATAACATATACATTGTGAACAACGTGCCAAAGAACCGATCCCCAAGACGTTTTTATGAATCGGCTATCTCATACGCATTAGAGCCCGAATAGCAGGCAAGAAGAGATCTTACCTGGCACACAGAGAAGGAGAGAGGAAGAGGCAGCGAGTGGGTGGGCAAGGGGCCACAAAGGGGCAGAATCGACGGACTACCATTAAATATTATATGCAACACCCAGAGATCGAAAGCTAGCAGATGCTATTAATCTCGAGAAAGCGAGCAGACCCTCCACTACGCGCCCTCATTAATAATAAAAGTTAAGAAGGGGCTATAGTGAGGGGAGTCAAACCTTTTGAGGAGTAGCCGAAAAGAGAAAGCGCGTGTTTGTTTTTGTTCTTCGATCCAATATTTATTGTGAAGAAACCATTTATTTAGGGTGACTGGTAGATAAAGCCCTCGTGAACTAATTTTGCTAAAGCTGATATCTTCTACTTTCCAGATTATATCGCTAGCCAAAGCGTGAAAAAAGTTCTCTGAGACCGACAATTCCCGCGCTATCTGATGAAATGCACAACCGCACCACAAGGAACCACTCCCTTTGATTTAGAGTACAGTCTTCTAGAGGACAATCACAGATGTTACATTCCCGTGTAAAAAACGAGTGAGCTAGGACCTTGCCAATTCAGCACTGCAATGTTTCCCCCGCAGCAGGCTGTTGCCTGACGCCCTCTCATCTGCTGCGCTCTCTCGCCTTGTACTCTCCTCTCCGCGCTAGTCTCTCGCCTTAACAAAGCCAATTACGAAGGCGAATCACCTCCTAACTTGAGCTTTTTTTTTACAGATTCTTCTCTTTCGCTAATGTCGGCCCCCTTCAAAAATTGCATACCGACATGCCCAATTGAACTCTTCACAATCAGACAAGCTGTGGATATTAACAGTGAGGTGACTTACAGAAGGTGTCATCACTGTAGCTCTGACGAATCAGGCGAAGGAGAGTGCTCCTCATAATAATAGTAAGGCTTTCTGACCGCACAATGATCTAAGAGAACCCTACGAGCCTTAATAACATCCAGCCTCCCCGTTAGGATTATGATGCCATTAAAACTGTGCATTCCTACAGGGGACTATGGTACCCATGCAAGCTACATAGCGTGGAGTGGGAGCGCTTCCAGAGTCTTGATGTTCGAGGTCAATTGATCTGCAACATTGGTAGCGATTTTCGAGTCAGATATTCGAAATATTTCGCCATCAAGGGCCATGGACAACACTCACCAGTTAGAAACTGCAAAAGTCCAAAACAAGCAAAAGGGGTTGTTGTTGGTCTCGGAATCTTACTCATTTTATGCCAGAGGCCATTTTATGTTGCTCTGAAAAAAGCGAAACCATAGAATAGATATCAATTCTTCCACAGCCAACCATAGGAGCAATGAAATATATATACATATATATATATATATATATAATAATATATAAGATAATAATATTATATATATATATATACATATAAAAATTTTACACGTTGCCATCTGTGTCCAAGTCGTCTTCTCATGTGAACTGTAACAATATGAAAGGTATGAGAAAACAAAAAACAATAATTACTTCCACCGCATCAATGGAAGAAGTGTAGAATCGAAGAACAACGTAGGTATGAACCGATCACGAAAACTAAAGAGTTGGAAAAGGATTGCCCACCCAGATGCGCTCGCTGCTGCGTCTCTGTGCCAGTGACATTTAGGTCATGAAGAACATGTAACCTTGGTGAGCTACGAAGTGATTTCAAGTTGTTGCTTTACATTCAACTCTAAAGGGTTTCATAGTGACTCACTCGTTTTTTTGGTTCGAAAAGGTTACTCGGACAAGGTTATCGAGCTCTCACGCTGGTTATTATATTTCAGTACTCAAAGGGATATCAAGATTTCATACCAGTCGCTAATGTGCTAACGATCAATGTGGTATTGACCATTACAAATTTATTTTGTGCAAGGAAAAATTAGCTTATTCCTGAAAAATGCTGTCCATCATCATAACACTCTGACGCTGCAACGCCAGATGTTCACCTTACTACTATTACAGGTAAGCTCCTGCTATTTCTCCCTGAAAACTCTACGAAACCTGTTGAGTGGAAATTTCTGATAACTGTTGTATCAAATAAATTTTCAGGCAGCTTGTCCATTTTTCTTCATGCAAATGCCGTGCTTCTTTGCGATATTTCTCCTTTTTGCTGGCGTTGATACTACACCACTCGTCACGAATTCCGTTGATGTCCTTATCGCCTTGTCTCCACTGATCAATCCAATCATCACACTCGCTTTCTTGAGAGATTATCGAAATTTCGTTCTTATTAGACTTAGACTAAAGAAACCCTCGAACCAGCAACGAGTGACGAACATTCACACGTTACGAGGATCGAGGCACCTAATAAGGACAACAAATGTTATGTTGTCGCGAGATATTCCATTCTACAAACACAAGGAGCATACCAATAATGGCACCAAGTGATAACTGATTATTAATGTACTATTAACTCTGTTGTTGACTTTATGCTGATCCGATCATGTACTTTATTGTCATCGCGCAAATAGTATAAATTGACTGCCATGGTACACAACCACAGCTCAGAATATGTTGTTTGGATGTCGAACTCCTGAATCCTTCGAAGGGCGAAGTGCTGAACGTAAATTGATGCAGGGCTGAACATATAAATGTGTTCGCTCTTTGAATATCCATTTGCACTTACCACGAAATAAAGTTGATAAAGTTGCAGTCACTGAAAGACCTATAGTATATTTTTACAAGCATAATCCACAGCCGCAGACAATTTGAGCGTGTTTATCGTTGTGCTGGAGCAGTTCTTGCGCGGAAGAGGAAGACGCACAAAACTCCAGATAGAAAGCGAACTTGAAAAGCTAGTGAAGTTGAAGTTGATAGATGCAGCTTAAGTGGAGTACGACTCTGAAGCGTAAAGTTGGAAATATCGCTTTCCCATGAATTTTGGTTACCTATTTTTCATTTGATGCATGCAAGAAATACAGTCGATAAAAAGGTACTTATACGGTTTGATCTTTTAATGGGCATCGGAAATACGGATCAGAAGGACGACGTTGCTCAATAGAGAAATCGCAGAGGTAGGTAGATTGTGATCGATAGGTAATCATTATACGTTCACCTAAGGATTTCCCAAAATCTCACGAATATAGATGTTTTGACATTGGAGACTTTTTCCAATCACCCGTTGCAGCGACCATCCTGAACGATAAGAAAATAGAAGCAGCGCATAGGCCATTTCGCATTTATATTTGACGCATTGTGACATTGGAGACTTTTTTCGAAACATCTATATTTGTGAGATTTTGGGAAATTCTTAGGTGGACGTATAATTATGGGACGCAGTGTACCTTGCCATATAGCAAAAGGGTGCGCGTAGGCACTCGGTAATGAGACTAGCAAACTTCGAGTGGATGCCTTTCAATATACGGTACCTCCTATAACTTTGTTAAAAATGACGCGAAGACGCGGATCCGCGTCTTTTTCGTCTTTTTGCTATAATTTGATTTCTGATCGCTTTTCGACATGAAAAACTATACCATTAGACTCAGCTCGTCGAGTTCTATTAAGAATGTCCTCTCAAGTTTCAGAAGTTGCAGAAAATTCATTTTCTATTCCAAAGTGCCTAAGGAGACTCATTAGCGAGCGTTGATTGTGATAGTGGAGTGACCAGCGGGCCTTATCACTTCTCCTCTGTCCTAAAATGTAGTATGAAAGTAAGTCTACCGTGCTCTTCAGGTGATGCCGATCATTTTGATTCTGCCCAGGTCAACCTTGCGTTGCGCAAATTCCAAATTTTTGCGACCCCCTCCATTTCAAGGGGTGATGAGCTGCGAAACGCTCACTATTGGACGGGTGCCCCCAAGAGGCCCACCGCGCGGCGAAGGAAGAGACGCAGACGCGGCAAAGGACGAGTCGCAGCGCATACTGTAGCGGTTAGGCGTCAGGTTAAAGAGAGTGTACCATACTACGTCTCATATCGCACAGCACGCGCTGCAACTCGTCCTTTGCCGCATCTGCGTCTCTTGCTTCGCCGCGCGGTGGGCCTCTTGGGGGACACCCATGAATTTTGTGTATTTTAGTGTTGCGTGTGTACTTTCTGTGTGTATCAACCGTCTTGTCCTAATTATAAGTTGCAGTGTGTACAGTGGCTTCTATCTCATTTTATTCTCGGAGAATCCAAAATAACACATAATTTCCTTCACTACGCGTCCGAATATTTTAATTCCGCCATTTCATCGCGAGACACTCAAAATCATGCGTGTGTAAGTCAAAATCGAAAAACTTCCGAATTTTCGAACGAAAGAGATCGTTGTTTCCATTTGAAGCTCGATCATGGGTAGGTTGGAGTTCGAATCAGGCAGAAGTGAGGCTTGGTTTTCATTTTCTCGATCCCTCGAGTCTTGGTTCCCGTTTCTCCTTTTCCTTCTCCTTTTTGTATAAGCCGGAAAACTGGATATGCAGTAGTAATTTACGTCCTTATTTGAAAACTTATATCTTCGTTCGTCGGCGCTCTCATGGAGCCGGTGTGTGCCAAATTCAAATAGTTTTTCTTCAAAAAAGCATTTGAAATGTTGCGGATGTTCAATATTTAAAAAAATCGTCCCGTTGTTCCGTTTTCTGTGCACACGCGAGTTTTTGACATTCAAACATTCATAACTTTCTTCATAATCAACTTTTTGCAAATGTCTAAGGCTAATTAGAAACTAGAAGATTAGAGCTTTCGAACAAGCACCTGAAAATTTTCCAGCGATCATTCTTTCAAAAAATAGTCCCGTCGTTCCGTTTTTGGGGGGTTTTGGGGTCCGATTTTTGAGAAAGCGCGAGTTTCCGACATTAAAGCATTTATAACTTCTTCGTATTCAACTTTTTGCGAATGTCTAAGGCTAATTAGAAACTAGAAGATTAGAGCTTTCGAATAAGGGCTGAAACTTTTTGAAAAATCACTCGTTCAAAAAATAGTCCCGTCGTTCCGTTTTTTTTTCATAGACTTTTTTTCAAGCCTTTCTTCTGAACGCGACATTGCAATATTCAAGAACCCATAACTTCCTTCAAACTTCATAAAATGAGAAGCGGGTAAAGACCGTTAGAATCTACGCGAAGAGTACTTTATTACTAGCTTAACTTTTCATGGAATTCTTTCTTCTGCTTCAATTTCATAAGGGGTCTTTGAAATTCAATTCAGCAAGTTCGCTACATTTTGTTCCGCTTAGATTTGATTTAAAAGCATCAAAATTTTCTTGAGGAAGTTTGTCTGCTTACGGCCGCTCACAGAGAGAAGGTTTTTATGGGAAAACGCCTGCTCGGGTATACGCCGTGCACCTGTCTGTGGGTGGAAGTCGCACTCGCATTTGAAGGTCCTCCACTTTCCCGAAGAAGGTGATAGTACATGATCGAATTGCATTGTATGTTTTGCGGTACCATTGTGTGTTTTATGGTTTGATGGTTGTTTTACTTTCCCATGAACTGCTCTACACAGTTGAATTTCAATCGATACGCTGGAAATTGGTGACTTGCTAAGTTTGGCACCTATACCACCTTTTTTCATAATTAAGCTAGGTCTAAATAGAAGTGTGCTGAAGACAGAAAGATTTTTTCACGATGTAGTAATTCATGCAGGGAGATCGGTACGAAACAGCCAAGCCTGAAATATGATTACTATTGAGTTTATGGTAACTTCATGTCTTTTGGGACCATTCCTCCCAGCCTTTCACCCCCTGGTCCCTCTGTATGCGACTCCCCGTTGTTCTTTGCGCAATGTAGGGTTGACCCTGGAGATGTGGTACGATTCACTCCATTCAGCAACGAAGTTGCATCTCTTAAGTGGAGAATAACGAGAATGGACTGAAATACAACCTCAGGACATTACCTCGCTTCTAGCCAACCTTCTCCGCTAGTTATGCTTTTCAAGTTTTCGCAACACCGGCTATTTCAGGTCCTTGCTTGGAAGCAATTTTCACAATTTTTCCATCAAATGGAAAACAAACTTATACCATTCAAATGACCATCAAAAATACTACGTAATGATATGAGGGGTATCAGGAATTCTAACAATTTTTCAACTTTTGACACTGAGTGCCTTCTCCTTCCGTGATCATTCGACCGGCAGGCTATCTAGCCGTGTCACCTAGGTGTTTTCTCATAGGTCGAAATAATTGGCCGATGATCTCAGCGTCTCACTCCGCTGTCCGCAAATTGCTGGAGGACCTCCTTCTTACCTCAACGCCCAACAGTCCAATTCACTCTACAAGATACTTCCTAGTGAGTTGCCTCAAGCTTTGGAATAAAAAAAATGAAATTTTCTGAAATTTGAGACGGCACTTTTATTGATGATGAGCCTTATGGCGCAGTTTTCCATGTCGAAAAGTGATGTAGAAAAGTGAACAACAATCAAGTTATTTCAAAAAAAAGACGAAAAAGACGCGCTTTCGCGTCTTCCGCGGTTTTTTTTACCAAAGTTATGGTACTGTATGCCGCTACCGCAATATACGGGGTCTTTTAAAACTAGTAATGATTTCCGTCTTGTTGATAACGAGACCAAGCCTCAGGGCGGGAAGGAGAGTTTCCAGGGTGGGCGAGCAAATTCTACTTACCACGGTGTTCTGTCCCTCCCATGCCCACTCCTAGAAGTTCTTGCGATGGCGTCTTTTGCGATAGCACCTATTATTTTTTATATTTAATGGTTTTAAGGTTTCTAAAGAAAAGACTATAAAAAGGTGAAAGATTCTATTCAGCGTCTCATTGCTATGAGTTGTAATTGGTTAGCACTCACTTCGTTTTCGATGGCCGTTTTGTTCATTACTCAGTACATCATTACCGACATTAATTTTGATTTACAACCGCCTATTAATTGAACGTTGCCATATCAAATGCATTCCACAACCAGATTCCGTACTTCCCCGCTTATCGAAAAAGAGATTATTAGTTTTCATATAATCCTAAAATCCCGATCGATTCCTAATGTCTCTTTCCAAAAAACAGAGATGCAAAATCTCACACCCCACTCTGATGCAGCTTTCTCTATTCTAGAACGATATAATTTCGATGCCCTTGCATAAGGTAAGAGAACCAAGTGAATTTTTTGAGTAGGTATCCTACTATATATGTACATAGCGCGCTTCGCTGCAGGCA